AAAAGATAAACGTAACCATGAAACCAAGTTTCAAAACAGGTTAGTAAGACAGTTACAATAGTTGAAACATTATATATTGTTGTTCTCCTAGTAATTATTCAGAATACAAAGTACAGGCATTATATCTTGACCAACCAATATTAGCACAAAACTTTCTTTTCAATCAACTAAGAAAAACTAGCTGTATAACCATTTTAATTCATTTTTATTACTGTCTTGCTGAAAATATTTTCATTCATACTCATAGGGAATATTGCCATATAGTTTTTGTTTAGTCTTTGTCTGGCTTTGGTATTAGAGCTAGCATGTATTTTTTCCTCTTCTATTTTATGGAAGAGTCTGAGAAAGATTTGAGTTAATTCTTTTTTAAAGACTTGGTAGAACTCACCAGCGAAGCTCTCTATCCTAAGCTTGTCTTTTGTGGGATGGTTTTTGATTAATGATTAAAACTCTTTATTATATGTCTATTTAGATGTCCATTTCTTCTTGGTTATTAGCTTTCTGTTGTTTGATGCATCTGTTCTTTGCCTCGCTGCTAGTTTTTTTACCCAAAGTGATGGCACTGTATTCTTCTGGCTTTCAGTGTTTTCAAGGAATGTTCTAAATGCAGATGCTTCTCTGCCCTGAGAAAGCTCACAGTCGGGCAAAACAAAAGCATATCCTCGTGTCACCCCCTCATGGGATCCACACAGAGGTAAAAACACACCCTTGATTTCCTGAAAATAAGGCCAGTTATTTTAATAACTTTAAATAAGCTTCTAAAGCTTGGGACTCTTTCCTGGACTTTAGGATGCATCAAGATTGCTTATAAAAAAAGACTGCTTCTGTTCCAGGGCAGAGGCTGGGATCAGGTCAGTTTACAACTTCACAAAGCTCTTCCATCATCTCTCAGGGGCCTTTCTCCTATCTGAACATGTGTTTAACTTCTGTAAATCTTCTCCTATCTTCTAGAGTTCTTATAAAGTTGACTCAGAGAGTTTTTGGCAGTTTTTCAATGTTTCTGGAGCGAAATGAGCATCTGGAGTTATTTACCTGACTATTTTAACTGACAAACTCCTGACTCATTTAAGACATGAAAGTAATTCTGATACCAAAACCTGACAAATTCATTACAAAAAAATAGATATTGTACCCCAATATCTCACAATTGTTATAATCATCAAAGTAGCAAAAGAAAAAACAAGATCATTTTAATAGATGCAGAAAAGATTTGATGAATCTTAACATGCACTTATTAAAACTCTCAGCAAAGTAGGAAGGACATTTCTTGACATGATAAAGAGTTCTTTATTAAAAAGCTCCAGCTAACAATCATATTTGATGTATGGATGGCTGTCTGCCCACCCTATGAGAACAGAAACAAGGCATAGAAGTCTGTAACATTTTTTTCTATAGTGTAACAGGTGATTTAATTAGATATGAGAAATAGGCATAAACATTACAAAGGAAGTAGTTGTTATGGACTAAACTGTACCCATACCTTCATTCATGTGTTAAAGTCCTGACCCCCAGTATTCTTTAGGATGTGATTGTATTTGGAGACAGGGACTTAAAAGAGGTAATCAAGACCCTACTCTACTGCTTTTTCTTTGACACTAGCAATCAATCACCATAAGGACTTTGAAGGGATAAGCATATACTTTGCTTAAGTCACTAAATCACTGCAGGCAGTAAGGTGAAAAGGTCTAACTGATTAGGTCCTTATTTTGGGAAAATAGGACAAGGACATACAAAGAAAAATCAATATATGTAATGCTATGTTAATTCGTTCAATACATACATAAGTAATAACTACTATGTATTAAGCAATGTTTTGGGAGCAAGGAATACAACAGAAATCATATGAAGTTTATATTCTAGTGAAAGAAGATATAACATACCTAATAAATAGGTAATCATATTGTATTTTAAGATATTTCTTTCCACTGTAGGGAATGGGAAATACAGAAACCAGTTTAAGTGACAATATTCCATATACAGCAATGTCAACTCTTAAACATAGCAAATTTAACTCTTACAATCAAATTCTTTTTTTTTTTAAGTGAAGTTGATAGGAAAATCTATTCTGCATGTCTGGGCTTATTCATAGCCCTCTACTATGCTTGTCTTCTGTGTTGGTAATAAAAGAATAAGTTTAACAAATCTTTTATTTCACTTTTGGGAATCAGAAGTAATACATTGTGGTACCTTTTCTTATGATTAAATATATATTAGTGATGATGATGATAATGGTACTAACAAGTGAAACACAAGTAAATGGTCCTTAGAGGCACGACAGACTCACTTACAGGAGCCACTACTTGGTTAAGAGACTATTCTCACTTCACTTGAGTCTACAATAATCCCCAATCCCCTTCCAGTAAAGAAAGAAATAAAAGTGTTGAGAGCCCATCAGAGATACTCAACCTGTGACAACTGCTATATAAGATTACATAACCTAAAAAAGGAAACCTCAGAGACAAAATTTGGGGCATGATCAATACAACCAACTAAATCCAAATTGCTCTATGGTCAGTCTTTCTTGAAGATTTAAAGGAACTTAGACAGCCATGAAAGGAACAAACAGAAAGTAGTTCTAAATGTAGCAGAGCACTTTAAGAGTGGCTTGGTAGCCTGATTTAGGAAGCAACCACGGTAAGCTCCAAGGTCTAACATCTCATTCCTGGAACATGTGTGTTCAGTGTCCTCAGCCTTGGCTAGCCCATCAGCATAACAGGAAAAATGTTCTCAGTTTCCTCTTGTAATAGGAAATGGGTAATTGCCCAGAAGAGGAGGTTCTAGGCAAGCTGGAAGGGACTGTTTTGCTGCTGCTTAAGAGGAAAAAAGAGGAATGAAAATTGAGTGTTTCCAGATTAATGCCTTTTAAAAGTTCTTAACCTAAGTTTAGATTTTCCTAAGTAGTGTTTCTCTGTTCCACCAAGCTCAATAAAAGCAAGTGAAATGTAGCACTCTAAGTATTGATACACCAAAATACATATTTTAAATGCAATTCTGACAATGCTGAATATATTTTTTGTGATCACAAGGTTGTTCCTTGAACCATGAGTCTGGCCTCCTTTACATGTTTAACATCAATAAAGTTGGGAGAATGTTTAAGGAGGACACTAGAAGTAAAGGAGTGAGAGACTGGTAATAAAGATTAATGACCCTGCAATAAACGTCCTGTATAGTACTTAATGATTAAGGGACAAGAACAAAGGAAACAAAGGATATAAAATAGAAAAAATGTATATTAAAAAATTCAGATACACTAAGGAGGGGAAAGCAATTAAGGAGATGTCAAATCAAGCAGTATAACGTGGGCAATTAGTGCTAGGTCACTGGCCTTATGATAAACAGTATCAAAACCCACTGTAGCACATTTGGAAAGTTTATGTCTCCCATTTGGTTGGGTGCCACAGCAAAGGCCAATGCAATAATTTTGCCCTGTATAGTAATCTGCATCTACCAGATCTGCAATAGGCAGAATGGCTTAATACGGCAACCCAAAATCCTTTAATGATCAGGTGGACCATAATTTTGCTAAGGGCTCCATATTAAAACAATGAAAGAAAAATATAAGACAGTCTTTTTCACAAACAGAAAAGAAGTTTATAGTTCCTGTGGATATCTGAAAATACAAACTATTTTATAAATATGAAAAAGTTTTCTGTATTTTTTTTCACTGAAATACTATAACCTCTTTTCCACTGAAAGAGAGAGAGAGAGACAGAAAGAAACTACTAACAACAAAAAATAAAACCATGAGTGAAAATTGTTCCTGAAAACTTTGCAGAATTGTAACAGCTTCTCTTTGTTAAGTTGATTGATACAGCAACATTATAAAATGACTATTAGGATTCATTGTGCACAACAGAAAGTGCTGAAATGTCAGCAGACTGTACAGCAAAAGTAATGGGTTCTGAACTCCTGTTAGTCAAAAATGATTTTGTTTCAAATTAGAAATTGATTTTTTTTGGACACAAGCCCTTTCCAGGCTTCTGGCTTTTGTAGCTGGGCCCTGGAGAGATTAACCTCCACCACAGCAAGGGCTGGCCTGATGATACCTTTCTCAAAGCGCTTTTCAACTGCTGCTTTCTAATGTTGCTGTGGTCTTAACCAATAACACAAGTTATTTGTCCGTTTGCTATTACACTATATTTTTCTCATTTTGCCATTTTATTTTAGTGCTGACACACAACATCAATTTGTTGACAAGTTAACAGAAGACTATGTTAAGCCTTGTGGTGTAATCACCAGACCAATTCTGGCTGGTTCTCCATTCTCTAAAGTAAAATGACTAAGAATAGAGAAAGCTGAAGTAAGAGTTTCCCATCTCTGAAAGAGTACGGCTACAGAAATTAAAGAAAATTCTTTCTCATATAGTGAGTCTGCTCAATTTCATTTTTGTTGTTGGTAGGAAAATCTAAGAAGAAGCTTCTATGCTGTTCTAAAGCAAAGGAGGTCTCCAGAATACTTGCTTTAAGTAAAAACCAAAAATAAAAACAAAACCAAACCACACTTTTGCTCTCATTTCAAATTGTAAGTCACCTTTCTCAAGTTTGGATAGTTTTCATATCTCACTTAACTAGGACAGGATTAAACAAATTCTAGATTAATTGTAATTAGAACAGAAAACCACAACTAAGCAGACAGCAGGAGAAGTGAGGCAGGGAGAGATCCACTTGGAAAAACTTAGTTTTTTCATCTCTACTCAATTTGAACATTATTTTTGTCTCTGACCACACTTACTGCTTAATTCTTAAGAGCAAGAAATTCAAAAAGAGCATGAAACTGGATAGAGTTCTCTTATCAGTACTCTAAAAGAAATGCAGACACATTTCACTAATCTAGTAGATGTCTTGCTTATGACCTTGCAGGCAAAGTCAGTTTGCAACATTAAATTCTGCTCAGCATTAAATTCTGCTCAGCATTTCAAGAAATCATCTGGCATTCACTGACTGGCAACGACCAGCAACCACTTTCCCCAAGCACTTTGGTACTAATGACGTTAAACTTACCTCTCTGGGGGCTACATGTATCTCTTTCCTGACACATCCACTTGGCATCATCTTCTATATGTGGCTGAAACCCAACCGTCTTTTTCTCCTTCCAGTTCTCTCCACTATTTGGGGAGTCTTGATACTTTTTAAAGGACGATGAAGTTCCAGGCAGCCATCTGTTGCATTTTGACTTTAATACACTGAAAGTGAAAATGTGAATTAACTGTAGACAGCATAGTAGGGGATACAGATTATGTAAAGATATTTAAATTCAATGAGTTGAAATGTAATTCATGACAGTGAGAAGTTACTTTTTCTTACTTTTTATCTTCTTAAAACTTTTTTTATTCTTACTTTTACTTTAACTTGAGTAATTTCCAAAAAATCTATTTTGTATCTTGCCCCAACAATTTTACAGAAGCAATGGTCTTTATCCTCAAAAAGCTTACATTTGGAGTGAGGGAAATGAGACTGAAATCCATGAAATAACTAATAAAACTAGAGAGTATGACTAAGAATTTTAATATCTACAGAAATAAAAAGTATAGTAACACGAGACTTGCATATTTAAAATGTATTCCAAGTACTAAAAATGAACATTAGGGATTAAAATATCATCCATGTACCTCAAAATACATTTGTATTTCTCATTTTCAATTGTTTTAATATTTGTTAGGTAGGTAAGGAACAATGCAATAGTGCATGTGTACTCTCTCCTTACATAATTATAAAATCAACAAAGCAAATATAAACTAAAAGGCATTTTAATTAACATGAACACATGTATTTTATGTTTTCTCATTAATAAAATAAACTTTGTTCCCACTCTTAGTACAATTTCATTTACAACATTTTAGGGAGAAACAGTCTGATGGGTTTCAGTTAAGCTTCCCAAGGATTCATACCACTTTGGTTTTATCTTCCCTATGACCAGAAACAATGTGAAAATTAAAGTCAAGGAAAAAAAGACTGAGAAACTGATAGAGATAGCTACTCAAAAAGTAAGACTAGGGGCTGGGGATTTAGCTCAGCGGCAAAGCGCCTGCCTGGCAAGCGCAAGGTCGTGAGTTCGGTTCCTGGTACCGGA